CCCTTATCACTGGCTATAATTTCCATTTCATAAAGTTTTAAATCTTCATAATTTATCATCTCTTTGACTCTGATCTCACCATTTTCTGGATTGAGGTTAAACATCTTTTGTGTCCTTTCTGATGTATACAAACTGTATGAATAAACAATCTCAGAATTTGATCCTTCATCTAAATCAGTGGCATTCAGTTTAATTACTAGACTGCCAATTGGAGAGTTTTCCATCACATCTACGACATATTTTTCTTTTTCAAAAGAAGGGGCGTTGTCGTTGACATCAAGCACGCGAACAATGATGCTGGCTGTACCTGTGCGGGTGGGGACTCCACCGTCCACAGCAGTGAGTATTAGATTATGAACAGCCTGCTTCTCCCTGTCTAAAGATGTTTTCACAATCAGGTCTGCAAACTTTGAACCATCTCTCCCGGTCTGAATTTCAAGCGCAAAGTGTTGATTTTTACTAAGATGGTAATTTTTTACTGAATTTGAACCAAAATCGGGATCCACAGCATTAGGTAGGGAAAAGCGCTCCCCTGGCGAGGTCGATTCGGATATATCTAAATGCATCGTGTCTCTACGAAAAAAAGGCGCATTGTCATTGATGTCCATTATTTCAACCTCAATGTTGAACAGACGAATTGGATTTTCGATCGTCACATCCATTTTAAGAAAACACGATGGATTCTTGCTGTTACATATGTATTCGCGGTCAATCTTTTCAGAAACAAATAACTCTCCTGTGTCTTTATTGATTTCAAGATATCGCTTATTGGCGATGACATCCAGTCTCATGTTGCGTCTACCCAGTGATTTTGCGTCCAGACCCAAATCCAATGCTAGATTAGCGACCACGGAACCTTGTTCCATCTCTTCGGGGATTGAGTAGTGTGTAACAGCAGATATAACGGAGACGGCCACACAGAAAAAAATGAGCATCGACACGTACCTCACCCCAGAGCGATGACATAATTTAAAATCCATGATTATTAGTTCGTCTCGTTCACAAATAAAACGCCTCTGGATGCGCAAAATCGATGTCTCGGTTCCAAGAAAGCTCACCTCTATGAATATCAACAAAGAGGTTATATACTATGACCTCGGGCTGCTAGAAGAAAGAACCATGTAAAAATGGAGGTTCTGTTACTTTCCTCAGTTATCTGGATGGTGACGTCACGTGGACCTGAATTTTTTTTTTTGTGGTAAAGAGCGACGCGTTGTGTTATCTCTCACTTGAATTAACCGAGTTCGAAAGTATAACTCTGATATGCTTTACAAATGTAGTTGTTATAGTTATTAGTGTCGTTGCTTCTACAGCTGTCCTCCTAATTTACCTAAAATATAGATCGTTTGTACCATTCAACTTCAGTTACTACATGCCAACAAAAGCACAGCAAGATAATTAATTTGATTAATAAACACATAATTTGTTTTCTTATTGGTATTTGGTTGAGTGGTTTTAAAAAATAATGGATACACAGTGTTAACGGTGTTGATTAAGCAGAGAAAAAGCAGTAAAACCATAGAACTGGTAAGTGTAAAAATTTCACTCGTTGCTTCTCCATACCTGTAGAGTAGAAGCTGCTGAGTCACTAGTGTCTGTCAGTCCTGTCCCTCTCGGTATGCTGGACACAATGTACCTGGAGCCCTTTGGCAGAGGCTGTCT